AGTGCGCCCAGTTCAAACCCAGCAATGTCGAAGCGCCAGGGGGGGGTGCCGTAGTGCCTTAAACTGGCAGTGCAGGAAAGGATCGCTAACTGGCCATGGCGGTGTTTACAAGGCGTCACAGTTTTCAGCCAAACCCCTGCGACCAAATACAATCGGGCTGTTCGTAAAGGCGGGGGGTGGAGGGCAACACTCTATCAATATGACTGATGCAGTGGATGGAGTATCGATAGACATCCTAACTGAGAGTCGGTTGTCCTTTCGTACACGATCGCACCGGACTCTACTGGAGGTCTGGAGTAAAAAGACCCAAGGATGCAGGCAAACTGACGAAACAGAGACCCGCGCCAATCCGCCTAGGATAGTACCTATGCAATTAATCTGATGCAGGTAATACTTTGCGCACATGCAATTAGAAGCATAATGGGAAGCATGATGAATCATAATCCGTTTAGGATAAATTTTTCGCTTTTTACTAAAGATTTTCGTGCAATACAATGAGTCTATATAGACATTCGTGCAGCTCCTCGTTCTCGGGGCGGTTAAAGTGAAGAAGAATGTCATCCTGACAGGGCCTCTGTGCGTGCACCCCCCAGACATAATGAGAACGTTATCACAGATACCGAAATCGAGCCAGTAGGTACAATTGTAGAATCAGTGGGCAGGGCTACCAACTACCATCCTGCCAAACGCTTTATGACCCACATTTTATTTTAGACCATTTCCGAATTTCGGATTTTTAATTTCCTCAGGAATTGATTGCCAAGTAAGAATAAGTTGGTCTGAATTGAACCTTCTGGACTCAGACCGAAAGTTGCTATGAACACTTGGGTCTAAATCCTTCAGACAGAGCAGAATAACCGCATAGCATATACATAGGTTACATGCTACACCATACTTGACAGCACATGTTCTAGCTAGTTAAGCCATGGGTTATCATGTAAACTATTTCCAAAGTTATCATGTTACATTTCGAACGCCTGAACTTCGTATTGTTAAAATAAGTTTGCTCGGTTGGCCGAATCAGGAAAGACAATTATTTATTTTCGAACTTCGACTTCATCCTTGAAAAGGTAGGTTCTGTCTAGAGGCACGTTAATGTTTTTTTACTCAGCTACAACTGTGGGTTTGTTCGCATAGCCACATCAATAACCGTTCCCCTATGAACCACTGCGTTTCTTATGGAGTTCGCAAATTAACTGTCGACTTTTAAAGCTTGAAACCGTTTCAGATTAAACTGCATTGGTGAGGCATAGGCGACGGTCATTTTCAACCAGCCGATGCAATCAATACACTGAAGCACCATCGCGACAGCCTCAGGGCTGTGGCCGCCGTCCTAATCTCCAAAACCGATTGTTTCAATTCAACACCAGCGTGCTACTAGCTCACTGGTAGTAGAGTTGTTATTTGTGTGCAATTTGAGAACTAAATAAGGGAAGCATCTTCCTTTTTTACCTTCTCACGGGGTTTCCCGCGTACCGCTGCGAACGAACGAGGTGAAGGCGACGTTGTTATTACTGGAATGGTACGTTTCACCTTTTGGGGCTGCGATGACTAAAACGACGCTATCATGCGCCTTTTTAGCGCAATAACACGATTTTGTCAGGGCTGACGAGCTGTAGTTGACTTTTCATTGAAAAGGACGGATGCAGAGATAAGTTTCTCAGGTTTTTGAAGATCACGCTCCATTGCACCTGTATTTTTGCACTCAAGCTTTAAACTGAGTTAGTACTAATGTCTATAGAATGTGAGACATCCAACGAGAAGTGTATACTATTCCTTTGAAGTTTACAGCATTTTCGAAAAGCCAAATATGCCCCCCGGTGTATTTCAATCCTTTTTAATTATGTAACCTGGGGATCGCGTTTTCATTGCTACTGCTATAGCTGATGGACTTTGGCCCAAATATTCATGTGTAAAATTCTCGGTCTGTTCCTATAGACCTCGAATAAACTCTTCTACTCCATTTTCGTAGGTAATTTCTGAGGAAATTAAAAAGCGACAATTTTTAAAGTGGATTATCTACCAGAAAACACAAGGGGAATGCTGGGGGACCCACTGATGGGCCGAATCCCTCACAGCTGCGCCATACAGCGGCAAAACATCGGCGAAACACGTGTGTATGGGCTTTTGACTAGTACCTGTGCTCTTAGTATGGTATCACCTTACCCTAAAGTATTGCTACTACTGTTCCCTCATGGATCTTATCACAAAATAGTGATAAACGAATAACCTGCATAAGCCCATAGCTCCATTTCAGTAAAAAGACCCAACTGAAATTTTATCTGTGTTCTTGACTTCCTTATCAGACCTATCGTTTTTTTCTTGGCATTCTTGGATTCTTCTATAAATGAAACCTCATTCCGTAAAAATTGTTCATATTAGTCAGTTAGGATAATAAATAAGTATAAATAAAAAGGTCGTAACCTGGTGGATTTTTCTGGTGAAACCTGATCGGATTGAACTTTCACAGAATCTGGTAAGACTAAAACTCAACCGTCTCCAAAAATTTAGGCATGTATTGCTGCTACTTATTTTATTTGGGTAGTTGTGTATGTTTCCCATTAATTCTGACGTCGGAGAGCGGGGTAAGGCATAAGCATTGCTGTCTAACTTGAAGCTTCGTTTAGTCTCCCGAATGTGGTTTATTTGCATGCAAACTAATCGAAAAGTGTTAAAACTCAACAGTAGACGCGCGTGATGACTAAAAGAACTCAGCCAAGCATCAACCCTCCAAAAGTCCTAAGGAAGGCTGATCCGCGGTATTCTGAGCAGTAAATCTCCATAGATGAAATGCATAAGTTCGATGTGGCGGGCATATCCAATGCTGCGTTTTAAAGTGAATGCGAATACAGTATATCTGCCTGACGAGTAAATTTCTCAACGGTAGCCTGAATAAGAACGGGAGGGCGTAACGATTGCTCTTGTTCGTTTTACACCCTTCAACGTGTGGCGGAACGGGCCTGCAAAAACTAGAACATTTACTCGGTGTTTTGACAGATTTTATTAATTTAAGTGACCCGGTTGTGAAAAACTTGACGATCGCAGTGGGATTCGAACCCTCGACTGAAGGGGCGGGGCTTTAGTGTGACTAGCGTTTCAACCGGCTGTTTCTGGTCGAAAGACTCAAGTTCTTGCTTATTTCATCAATTTCTTACTCTTTCTGTAACGGATTGGAACTCCGACGGATTCGATTGCGTTAGTTAAACTAAGACATTTTTCAAGCGACTAAAACAACGCTGCGAATGAGTCGACACATCAGAGAGGCAAAACAATTGGCTGGCGATCGAATATAAAGGCCTCTAGTTTTTACTACCGTAACATGTTTGCTTAGTTGATTCGGGTAGGCATGTTATATAAAGTTTGCGTTTCCGGCTAAGCTTAGGAAGATTAAATTTATGGTTAGGACTGGGGTTAGGTTGAAGGCTAGGGGAAGTGCTAGAGTTAGGTCTGCCTACCACATACTGCCTTACCGAATCCGGCCTTCTTTGACCGATAAACTTTTCGCCCATTTCCACGCCCCTAATTCGCATATGTCGAGTTGTACAGTCTGTTCCGTGACCTCATTGAGGTAATAAAAAACATATGGTGTGAGAATTTTCGCAATGCCTTTCGCAGATTCCGTTAATTGCTCCGTCCATCCGCCCTACTGGCGAAACTAATATGAAAATCACCCACGCACTACAGGAGTCCTTTGGCTTTATTTTCTCGGTGGACTTTCGTATCCAATGATCGCCGGTATTTATCCTGGCGATCGGCTTTAATTCTCTAAAAAATCGATTACCTGCTGACGATGTTGTTGTTTTATAGGGCATACCTTTACAAATTTAAATTTTTGGCGTGGTTTCATTCTGCAGCCCTACTTGATTGATACCATATGGTTAGATTTCGAAAAAATCTTAGTATAGGTGAGTACGCTGACTTTACAAATATCACGTGTTTGCTCCTTCCTTACTATTTTAATCCGGCAAATAGCTGTGCCATGGGTGGAGGAGCGCCTGTACGCCATCCCCATTTACATTTAATGACATTGTTAGGACGGAATGGAACTCTTTCGGTTCCACTAGGGTGGCCATACACTGTGAATTAACACGCGGTTCCCGCTGTGGCTTTCCAGTTGTGATTGCGCCCTCCTTACTCCACTAATCCGACGGGTGGCTATGTCGCGGGGAGAGTGTGTGATATTATGTGGTTAACTTTCTAAAAAAATTTTTCAGAGAGGCGAATACGCTGACTTTACGAATATCACCTATTTACATCTTCCTTACTACTTAAATCCAGCGAGGAGGGCTTATGTGCCAGCCTCGGTTGCTTCAGATATCAACCCGGGAGTGAGTAGAAAACGGATTCACGGTATGGACGCCCCGCAACGCTCGTTTGGAAACCTGGTGTTTCAATTTTTCTCTAGGAGATTTTTTTCTTTATTTTTAGCGTTTCCTTTTGCTTTTGCGCTAAATTAGGGTGGGGCCAGGGCTTTTCCGTCCATAAATCACAGACTCTGCCTGGTTGCGGGTTTCCACCAAAACAACAAAATCGAAGAAAAAATCTAATGCACATATCTGGGTGCTTCCAGGGAGACATTAATCACCCTGTCAGTTATTTTTTTCGATTATTTGTTACTATAGTGTTCGTTTTCTGATTATCTATGGAAAGATTACAATACGACTTAGACTTACAACCTGCCTATTTGTGTTGGGGTTTTGGCTAGTTTTTGGAGATGGATTTCTTTATTTTCCTGCAGAAAAGTCTTTATCTTTGCCTTGCTGTTAGGTTTAACATGTGTGAGACACGAAACAGCCGATAAAATACCAGTATTACAAAACAACCGTTGCGGTTTGCTCATACCGCGAAGTCGTTATTTAGTCAATCGCTATCAACCCCTGCGCGTGCTTTGAGCCCCGCTTGCGCTCTCTTCATTATCCTAATCCAGTGAGTGGCCAAGTAAACTTGGCAATGAAATTGTTCGGACGGTGTGGAGCGCCGTTGGTCCCACTGCAGTGGTCATGCGCTGCGAATTATCACGTGACCCTCCAGTTGTGATTGCACCCCCCCCCCTCTTAATCCAGCGAGTGGCTGTGTCGGGGAGGTGTGTACAGGCCATCTTCACTCGCTTCCCTGCGCGTGCTTCGAACTCTGCTTGCCCGCTCTTTCCCTTCCTAATCCAGCGAGTGGCAGAGTTAGGTATATTACCTAAAATTCGTTCCAGTAAGCTAACCATATAGCATCAATCAGGTGGTGCTGCAGAACCAAACCTCGCAAATTTTTTTAAATCGAAGTCACCCTTTTTGAATACCCTGACTTGTTCTGTAAATTTTTTATTGTTTATATTTCTGTCGCACTTAAACTGCGCAATCACGCGCGCGTCGTCTATGCTGTTAATTAATAGATAATATCGCCCAGACACGAAGAAACGTCGATTTTCAACTTCTAAACATCATCTTTTTCTTACCTTAACAAGTTATTAATATAATCTGGGGAGAAAAGGCGTTATACGCATCAAGTGAGGCTAAGACAAAAGCTGCACTTCTTGGCAAACAATTTTATTAAGCATTCGGATTCTGATTAATGGGTTCACGAAACACATGACTGTGCTAAAGATTATGGCACATTGTACAACCTATGTGTATACTACTGGCTGCCTTTTGGCAGTTTATGGGGTATTACACGGTAATCCTGCGGTGGCTGATGGAGTTCGATCCAAATTTCGGCTCGAGTCTATAAGTCGCAAATAAACCGATATACTCCGAATTAGCCACTAATTTCTGTGTAAATTAAAAAGCTGCAATTTCAGAACTGGAGTACCTCTCAGAAAGCACACAGGGAACGCCGGGGGACTCACTGATGAGCCGAACCCCTCACAGCTGTGTAGCGACAGAATATCGGTAAAACAGGTGTCTAGACTTTCGGCTAGTACTTGTGCTGTTAAGTATGGTATGAAGTGCTATCTCTGTATATGCTACTGGCTGCCTTTTGGCAGTTTATGAATACCTCGCGGTTATTCCGCAGTAGTTGATGGACTCTGGTCCAAAAATTTATATAAAAACTCAGTTTGAGCTTATAAGTCTCAAAGAGAAGGATTTACTCCAAGTTAGCGATAAATTTCTGGAGAAATAAAAATTATGCCACCTCAAAGCTGGAGGAAACACACAGGGAACGCCAGGGGATCCACTGATGGGCCGAACGCCTTGCAATGTGCAGTGGTAGAATATCGGCGAAACATGTGACGGGGCTTTTAGCTAGTACATCTGCCGACAATTATGGTGTATCGCACAGCCCACGTTTCACGGAAAGATGCTAGAATGAAGTCTATATCTGGGGAGAATTGAGTGTTTGTGGCGTCTACGTAGTGAGTGTACTCACAGCGCCACGATCCTCACAGTCAGGTCCGGCCTTGGAGGAGAAGGGGCCAAACACCGGTAAAAGTCATGTATTCTGTGCGGACACACAGAGTTGGTCAGAGCCCCCGACGCGCGACCGGTTCCGGATCCGCCGTGGTGATGAATGAATTAGCGTCATCTGGGAGCCATTCAGCACTGCATAAGTGCCAGAAGGCAAAGGCTTATACATTACCGAGGCGCTACGTACTCACCCAACGCTACGCGCTTAACTACAAACAACATCGGGATTGAAGGGTAATGAGACAAGAGTTCTCACAGAGCTCACTGACAGTCGTCATATTAATCGTCCCTCGCCAGTGAGGAGGAGGAGGAGGAGGAGGAGGAGAAAGAGGAGGAGAAAGAGGAGGAGAAAGAGGAGGAGGAGGAGGAGGAGGAGGAGGGTGAATCCGGTCTTAGCCTGAGGACCGGTGTACTGGGCGACTACTTAATTTGGCGTTAGACCGTCAGACCTCAGTCATCCGCCGCAATGTTAGACTTTTAGTTTATTTGATAAAGATGATAGGCAAAGCCTTTGAAAACCCTATCGATTACATGTCAGCTCGTTAGAAATAACTGTACTGTAACAACGAAAATATTTGCTATATAAACAGTACTTGGTTCATTTGAGTAGCATTGTCACAGAGAAAAAACTATGTGGGGAACCGGGGTATTTAGCTCAGATTCAGACTGTCGAGGGAAAACAGGGGACACAAATAATCATCCAAGCGTTTCTTGAAGAGTTGCAGGGATGTCGCCTCCACGATCATTTGCTCGATCGTCGGGGCCGAAGATGTCCACCGTATGCCTCACAGCAGGATGTGAGCAGGACAGCGATTCGAGCGTGGATTAGTCTTTACTGATGGCAGACTTACGCAGCACCTACTGCACTTTCTCCTCCTTTCCCAATTGAAGCCGGTGTCAGAACAGAGTCCAGAAGACCGGAGGCGGGAGATGGCGCAGGTGACTGCCACGGCAAAAAACCGCATCTAGGTGTATCACAAAACCCTCTGGCACGCACCGTACACTGACCAGGATTTTCTACGACACGAAAATGGGGTGGCGACTGGGGTCCCAGTTGGTGGGGCGCGAGCCTGAGACTGGGAGTTCCACCACATTCAGAATTTCCGCACTTGTTATGGGTGCGGTTCCCGGTAATGTGCTGGTCCTGTTATGCCTTTTTGAAGGGCACGGCCACATTCACACTGGTGGAAACAAATCCAGCAAGTGTGAACACTCATCCTGCTCTTTTTTTTCTCGCTTCATGTTCACGCATCCCTGTCAATAGCCTTTTGTTCAGACGCGCCTCAGGTAACGAACGGACAATTGCCTCGGTTAATGTGGCAGACAGTTGCCGACGCTCACAGTCAGAGCCCATATAACCCCCTAGACCACAGTCTGAATTTGATACGCCGCCAATCCGTGATACGTATGAACTGATTGTGACATCGGAAACCACAGGCGTGAAACGCATGGAATGAACACCCCACTTCAGCAAATCATCGTATTTGCAGAAATGTCGATCGGCTGGTTGGAACGTCCCCTTCATGAGTATTGAGTCAGTGAGGGAAAGTGTGGTGTTTGTCTCTTATGAGATCGAGGCATTTTGGTGGCCCAACACGTGAACAGTGTGCAAACAACTTCCAGCCTTTGCTGCTCGTTCAAAACGTTTCTGTTACGTTAAATAACTGCACTTTCCTCCAGTTTGTGTGGAAGCAGGGGCGTACTCTTAGGGTCGACTCACCTGATAAAAGGGAGCGGTCCAAGAGCTGGCATGTGATCACGATACACAAATGCACCTATATATATGCTGTCAGAAACAGCACTGTGCTTTTCGCTTTGACATCCTGACAGACAATGGTAAGTCACATGATTAACTGTCCACGAAGTTGCCTCGATTATCATGTATTTAACAAAGACTGCTGGGCAAATTTGTCAGGCAAAAGATCTAATACAGCAGATGATGTGCGCGCGGAAGGGCATGCAACAGCAAAATATTTTCAATATTTTCAGATGAGAGGCCATCCAAGTCCAATTTTCGGGTCTGAATTTCTGCAAATAAGCAGTCGTCCTTAAAAATAAAACTGAGAAATGAAGGAGAGCTACTAGTTAATAGCTGAAAGGACATCAATTTTAACGCAATTGATGAAGATCGAAAGAAGATGTACCGCACTGCACAATTAATGCAGCACAAATTCCGATAAATATTTAGGCAAATTTTACCCAAGAAACTTGGACTGATCCTAAGTCTATTGAAGGCGAACGAAATTAATAAGAAAGCTACTGGTTTTCTATTTAACTGGAAGATGCCTTCGTGGATTGCTGCTGGTGTACTCATGAAAGAAGTGATTTACGGTGAAACGAAGAACGCTGAGAACGTACAGTAGGGGGGGTTAGCTCATGAAATGTCAACCGAAATTTCGAAATTCGTTCCCGTTTTGAAAAGGTTAATTAAGTAGGGTTGTAAAACTAATAATCGGGCAGCATAATTATACAATAATCCAGTTACCTAAGGGTGTAGGCTTTCGAATGAACTTCGTTCCGACTGCATGAAAGGACCATACTCTGCAAAAAAGGGCTACTTATGTAGCATGTAACTTTCTCATCGATTTTCAATGCCCTTAAATATTCAATTATATTTCATGGAAAACATGCGTAAAATATTCACTCTTTCATCCTTCCGGTAGAAAATTACGTCTTCTTCCAATTTTATACTCAAGGGAAGGGTGTGATTCGGTTTTCAAAAACTTTTCCGATTCCCGAATCATTTTGAATCCAACCTGCCGTTACACTTGCGTTCAGGGTTTCCAAACTACAAGCCGTATATTTTATGCGTATGGAAAACCATGCATTTCTCTACGGTATTAAGAGAAGACCATGTGGGGTTCATAAAATTTAGCAGTGGATTTAAGCCATATTGTTAGCTTTTCTAGCCACATAAGTAAATGCACAGACATGAAGTTTTATGAATGGCCATTTCGCGGTATAACAAAATCGCACAATTAGAAACTTTTTTAAAACCGAATCATACCCTTTCTTCGAGTATAACATTGGAAGAAGACGTACTTCTCTATCGAAAAAGTGAAAGAATGAATATTTTTATGTATGTTTTCCATGAAGTATAATTGAATATTTAAGGGCATTGAAAGTCAATGAGAAAATTACCCTCTAATTAAGTAGTCATTTTTGAAGAGTATAGTCCTTGCATGCAGTTGGAAAGACGTTCATTCGAAAGCCTTCACCCTGAGGTAACTGGATTTTTATAAAATTATGTCGTATGACGATTATTTTTACAACCCTACGTAATTAATCTTTTAGTAACGGGAACACACTGTACGTTCAGATTATTTGGGCCAAGCCCTAGTGTCAACGAAACCGACCCTTTATTGCCTTCCTAGTTGCCTGTACGGTCTTGAATTCATTTGAGTGATTTCTTTGTGCATTGCAACAGGGATTTACTTGCTTTGATTTAGCCCGACCAGCGGCCAGGTGAAGACCTGGATTTTTAGACCTTACTCTTTGCCTTACAGTCGCGTACTGCGGACATAGGTAATATGATATTTAAGTGCAGTAGATTCACAAATTTATTACAAGTGTCGAGATTGATGACATTTTTCTCATTAATTACAAATCGGCGCAAAGGGATAGAGCAAAGCCCCGAATTACAAATGAGAGATTCTAAACGAATTGAAAATGCGCAGGAAATACAAGAAGTAGTAACAAAGTATTTGGATACAATTTTTTAGAAAAGCGGAAACTCCAAAAATGTTCAAATCTTGAGCAAAATTAAGTTTTTGGTGTGCAGAAAGACTGCCTATGCAAAAAATCTGTAAGTAAAGCAGTTCAGGTAGAATGACGTTTGAAAATACTTCTTTAATTAAGTCTGCACTTACTGCGGACTAGGACGGCTAACCAAAAGCCTACAGTATAGCTTCTAAAGTGGTTTAACGAGAATTGACCAGATTTTTTCCGTTTGTTCATTGTCTAAAATGCGGCTGACTAAAGCAAACAGGACTTCGTTTGATGTCCCCGATAGGGATGTCGTAGGAATAAAATTTCTCAGGTCACATGCTGACAGGCGGGTTAGTGGCAAATAAATCTGAATTGGATTGGCAGATGCAATCGTGTGCATACCCTTCTGCGTATATTAAGAGGTCCTTCCATTCGTTCAATTTTTTTACGCGTACGCTGAGTTCCAGATCGTTCCAGATCGTTTGTCCGCATCCATGTGGCCGCAAAGCACATGATAATGGAAGATTAAGCACAATAGGCAGAATGCTATTACTGACAAAGACAAGGGAGACTGAAATGGCCATTTCTGGCTTATTAGGCGTCGTCAGCCAGTCATACCTAACCGCGAATTGTGGAACACCCGAGGCTCGAACTCGCGACCTGTTAGTTAAATGTCCACGCCTCTAACCACTGGGCCACGAGCCTGCTGCCCTGTCAGTTTTTGAACGAGAATATGTAATGGTAGGGGGCGTTCAAGTCTACCAAAAACACCAGTTATTTTTGATTGTTAGCTGACTTATCGACCACCCTGTATAGGGCCTCTTTTTGGTCGCTCGCAACAGCACAGCTATTTTGGAACAATTACACACCGAGACACCTTCCAGTCGGAAGTAAATTCTTAAATTTCCGACATCGACGGTCCCAGATGAGAGTTTACAAAACCTCACATAATAATCCGATGCAATACCATATATTCGCGTCACTTACAATTGTCAATTGGAAGTAGGATCATTCGTTGCATCATGAAGTTGCAAAAAGTAAGTAGAGTTGATAGCATCACCAACAAAGACAAGGGAGACTGGAATGGCCATTTCTGGCTTACTAGGCGTCGTCAGCCAGTCATACCTAACCGCGAATTGTGGAACACCCGAGGCTCGAACTCGCGACCTGTTAGTTAAATGTCCACGCCTCTAACCACTGGGCCACGAGCCTGTTGCCCTGTCAGTTTTTGAACGAGAATATTTAATGGTAGGGGGCGTTCAAGTCTGCCAAAAACAGCAGTTATTTTTGATTGTTAGCTGACTTATCGACCACCCTGTATAGGGCCAATCGTACCCAACCCCGGGTTGTGGAGCACATGCCGTTCGATCGCGCGACCTGTTGATTAGAAGTCTAACGACCCTTAACCATCGACCCACGGGCTCGTTTTCCTGTCGGTCGAGATCAGGTAGGTACTACGCAGAGGGTCACTGACCGTTTGTGCTACGGAAATAATTCGACTCATCGTGTCTTGCCAGCAGTGTAGGCAAGCAGGTTAATTTTTTAGAGAATTAGGTATAGTACAGGTTTCAGAAAGTCAGGTTGGCAAATATGTTTGATTCCTTGCTCCAAAACGCAGTAATAACACCTACAGACAATCCTTTGTTTAAAAGTTTCCACGCTTTTCTGTCTTTTGCGAACACTCAATAGATTGCCACGAAAATGTCCACTAATAAGTAGCTTTGTTAACCT